AAAAAAAAAAAAGACAAAGCAAGACCCTCTCAGAAAGAAAGAAAGAGAGAAAGAGAGAGAGAAAGAAAGAAAGAGAGAGAGAGAAAGAAAGAAAGAAGAAAGAAAGAGAAAGATAAGAAAGAAAGAAAGAAAGAAAGAAAGAAAGAAAGAAAGAAAGAAAGAAAGAAAGAAAGAAAGAAAGAGAAAGAAAGAAAGAAAGAAAGAGAAAGAGAAAGAAAGAAAGAAAGAAAGCGAGCGAGCAAGCGTTAGGATGTCTGCAACTTGTACATGGTTCAGCAAAAACATTAGGACAATTTTTTCAAATATAGCAAAATGTAAACTGTTGAACTGAGGTGGTAGGTATATAAGGATCACTGTGCTATCTTTCAATGGTTTTTGTACGTTAGAAATATTTCATAATTAAAAAATGGGGTAAAATACTTTAGAAATTCTCAAATTGTGCCTTTCTTGCTGCTTAATTAAATGTAACTGAACAAATATATGACAGAGTGTCGCTGGAGCCTAGCCAAATCACCTAATCTCAAGGAGCTCACGATCCAATTACAACTGAAATATTGTTCAAGATAGAAAGGGAACATAACATGTTTTCAATGACACAGCAACATATGAGCCAACTCATGCAATTTAGAAATTAAAATCTTCAAATATAACTTTACTTTAAAAAATTAACACATGAGGCTGGGCATGGTGGCTCATACCTGCAATCCCAGCACTTTGAGAGGCTGATGTGGGCAGATCACTTGAGCTCAGGAGTTCAAGATCAGTCTGGCCAACATGGTGAAACCCCATCTCTACTAAAAATACAAAAACTAGCCGGGTATGGTGGTGCATACCTGAATCCCAGCTCCTTGGGAGGCTCAGATGGGAGGATCGCTTGAACCCGGGAGGTGGAGGTTACAGTGAGCTGAGATCACGTCACTGCACTTGAGCCTGGGTGACAGAGCCAGATCCTGTCTCAAAAAACACACACACACACACACAAAAACCAATGATTGAGGAAAAGGGTTTGATAATTTTAAAAGTATACCAATTTTTTCTGCTTTTCTAAGCCACCACTATAATATCAGCGGAGTTAAGGGTCACCAGGAATAGCTTAAATAAAATTTATACGTGAATAACTAAAAGGAAAATTTTTACAATACTAAAGACAACAGAAAAGTACAGACATTAGGAAATAAATCAGTTTGTTTCCTGAAAATTAACAATATGACCATCAAACAATAATAATATTAATATCAAACTAGCATTTATTTATGAGTTATGCCAAATACTCTGCTATTCTTTTTCCTAATTGAACTCTTAGAATCCTATGATAGGTCTACTCTCATTATCCTCATTTGACAGTTGAGAAAAGTGTTGACACATCTAGTAAGTAGCTAAGTCAAGATTCAAACAAATTGTTCTGTCTGACTCAAAAGAAGCATTTGCTCTCAATCAACTAATCTAAACATTTTGTCAGTAACATCTACTTTAATTTCTAGTTCTGCTAAAAATTTACTCCTTAAAGTTCCTGTTACCTATTGGTTTTTACAGCACTTTATTTGGCTTCTGGTAACATCTACTTCATTTGAGTTTACACCCAAATACCACACAAAATATAGTGTCTCCAGCCCTTATCTCTTCACTGAGCTTAAATTCTTTATTTCCTCTACCTGCAAAACATCTGAATATCAAGACAGAATTTCAGAATTGAAAAGTCTATTAAAAGCCATTTTTCTCAGCACCATAGGAAAGGTTAAAAAAAAAAAATTTTAGCTGGGTGCGGTGCCTGTAATTCCAGCATTTTGGGAGGCCGAGACAGGCAGATCACCTGAGGTCAGGAGTTCGAGACCAGCCTCGCCAACACGGTGAAAGCCCGTCTCTACTAAAAATACAAAAATTAGCTGGACGTGGTGGCACATGCCTATAATCCCAGCTACTCAAGAGGCTGAGGCAGGAGAATTGTTTGAACCTGGGAGGCAGAGGTAGCAGTGAGCCGTGATCACACCAATGCACTCTAGTCTGGGTGACAGAGCAAGACTCCATCTCAAAAATTAATAATAAAATAAAATAAAATAAATTTTAAAAATAAAATAAGATAATAAATAAATAAATAGCTTAAAGTAGAAATAAAGGTCCAAAGGTGCTCACAATTTTCAGCTATGCTTTACCCCTCAGAGATAATTTCCAAACTCCTTGGTTTAATATTCAAAGTACAATCTTGCTTCAATCTACCCCTCCAATCCTAATTTATACTATTTCCCTACAAAAACTCTCCTACTCCTGCCAAACTGGCCTTCCCATTTTTCTTTTATTTTTCGTTTTTGAGACAAGGTCTTGCTCTGTCGCCAGGCTGGCTGGAGTGCAATGGCACCATCGTGGCTCTGTGCCTCCCCAGCTCAAGCACCCTCCCTCTACAGGCATGCACCACCATGCCCAGCTAAGTTTCACATGTTTTGTAGAGACAAGGTTTAGCCATGTTGCAGAAGCTGGTCTCAAAGTCCTGAGCTCAAGTGATCCACCTGCCTTTGCTTCCCAAAATGCTAGGATTACAGGCATGAGACACTGCGCCCAACCCATTTTTACTTTCAGTTCATCGTCATGTTTCTAAATTTGTATCTGACCCCCTCTTATGTAGATGTTCCAATTTCCAAGACCAGACTCAATAAAACCTTCCTTTCCAACCACACAGTATGCACATGGCAATAAATCTCAACTCTGAACTCCTGACACACTGATTTATTTATTTATTTATTTTTTGAAATGGAGTTTCAGTCTTGTTGCCCAGACTGAAGTGCAATGGCACGATCTCAGCTCACTGCAACCTCTGCCTCCCAGGTTCAAGCGATTGTCCTGCCTCAGCCTCCCGAGTAGCTGGGATTACAGGCACCCCCCACCATGCCCAGCTAATTTTTATATTTTTAGTAGAGATGCAGTTTTGCCATGTTGGCCAGGCTGGTCTCAAACTCGTGACCTCAGGTGATCCGCCCGCCTCAGCCTCCCAAAGTGCTGGGATTACAGGCGTGAGCCACCGAGCCTGGCGAAACTTTTGATACCACCAATTTGAAATCTTTTTTTGTACTTTCATCTTTAATGTCTATATCCTGTCTTTCCGTGTCCTCAAAGGCATAGGGCATCTCTTAGGACTATGTATCACCAGCCCCCAAACCATGGCCAAACATAAGCAGCTCTCAGTATTTTTTTATCTTTGCTAATATTTGCATTGTCACAAGTTGCTCTATGAATAAGAACATAAGTAAAATCAAAGAATTTTTAAATTAACATTAGGCACACCTAAAATAACAAATAAAATTTTTTCCTGAAATTCACGAGCAGTTTCTAAGTTAGAGAGTTTCATTTTGTAGTAAAAAAAAAGGAACTAGACTTTGAACATCTATCAGTTCAAGAGCTGGCCAGGAGTGGTGGCTCATACCTATAATACCAGCACTTTGGGAGGCCAAGGCAGGCAGATCGCTTAAGCCCAAGAGTTCAAGATCAGCCTAGGCAACATGGCAAAACTCCACCTCTATCAAAAAAAAAAAAAAAAAAAAAAAAAAAAAAAAAACCAAAGAAAAGAACAACAATAAAAAAAATTAGCTGGGCATGGTGGTGCACACCTGTAATCTCAGCTACTCGGGAGGCTGAGATGGAAGGACTGCTTGAGCCCAGGAGGCAGAGGTTGCAGTGAGCTATAATCGCACCACTGCACTCCAGCCTGGGCGACAGAGCAAGGTCCTGTCTCAAAACACATATATTAATATATATATGGCCAGGTGAAGTGACTCACATCCATGGACCCAGCACTTCGGGAGGCCAAAGCAGGTCGATCGCTTGAGCCCAGGATTTTGAGACCAGCCTGGGAAACATGGCGAAACCCTGTCTCTACAGAGAGCACGAAACTGATCTGAATGTGAGCGCGCATGCCTGTAGTCCCAGCTACTCAGGAGGCTGAGGTAGGAGGATCACTTGAGCAGGGAGGTCAAGGCTGCAGTAAGCCAAGACTGAGCCACTGCACTCCAGCCTGACCAACAGAATGAGACCCTGTCTCAAAAAATAAATAAAATAAAATAAGTTCAACAGCATTACCACATTTTCTATAAAAACGAAATAGATGGGCCAGGTACAGTGGCTCACATCTGTAATCCCAGCACTTTGGGAGGCCGAGGCAGGTGGATCACCTGAGATCAGGAGTTTGAGACCAGCCTGGCCAACATGGCAAAACCCCATCTCTAATCAAAAACAGAAAAATCAGCCAGGTGTGGTGGCAGGCGCCTGTAATCCCAGCTATTCGGGAGGCTGAGGCAAGAGAATCACTTGAACCCGGAGGGCAGGAGAATCACCTGAACCCGAGATCGGACCACTGCACTCCAGCTTGGGTGACAGAGAGAGACTCCACCTCAAAAGAAAAGAAATAGATTATGCCTATGCATATTAGTCAGATTTTGAGAAGTTCAAGTTTTTCAATTCATGTTATTAACACTTATCACTGAGAGCACAGTAAGGAGATTTTAGTGGCAAGAGTGAAGCACACTAGATTTCTATATCCTTCTATAATGGTATAGAAGAGTGGCCAGCAGAATATGACTTTCAGGCCAAATTTAGCCTGCTGCCTGTTTGTATAAATAAAAGTTGTATTGGAACAAAGCCATACTTATTTGTTTATATATTATATATGGCTGCTTTCATGCCACAACGGCAGAGCTGAATAGTTGCCAGAGTCCTCCATAGTCCACGTGGCCCACAAGCCCAAAATATTTACTATCTAGCCCTTCACAGAAAAAGTCTGTCAACCCCTGATAAGCAAGCATACCCACTTTAACACAAAGCACAGAGAGCAAGCACTGCCTGACAAGGTGAAATTTATGAATTACAAAATACAGTCATGCGCCACATAAAGACATTTCAGTCAACTATGGTGAAACTCCAGTGGGCCCATGAGATTATAATGGTGAATGGTGCTTTTATACCATATTCTTACTGTACCATTTTTCTATGTTTAGATACACAAACACTTACCATTATGTTACACCTGCCTAGAGTATTCAGTACGGTAACACGCTATACAGGTTTTTAGCCCAGAAGCAAACAGGCTATGCCATATAGCTTAGGAGAGCAGAGAGCTATGCCACCTAAGTTTGTGTAAACACACTCTATAACGTTTGCACAATGGCACTGCCTAATGACACATTTCTCAGAATGTATCCCTCTCATTAACGACCCATGACTACACATTAAAACTTCCAAGGAGGCCAGAGGTGTGGTGTCTCAAGCCTGTCAGTCAGTGCTTTGGGAGGCCGAGGAGGGAGGATCACTTGAGGCCAGGAGTTCAAGAACAGCCTGGGCAACATAATGAGACCCTGTCTCTTTAAAAAAAAAAAAAAAAAAAGTTGCCAGGCGTGGTGGCTCACACCTGTAATCCCAGCACTTTGGGAAGCTGAGAGGGACGGATCATGAGGTCAGGAGTTCGAGACCACCCTGGCCAACATGGTGAAACTCCATCTCTACTAAAAATACAAAAAATTAGCTGGGCATGGTGGTGTGCACCACCAGCTACTCAGGAGGCCAAGGCAGGAGAATTGTTTGAACCTGGGAGGTGGAAGTTCCAGTGACGTGAGATCGTACCACTGCACTTCGGCCTGGGTGTCAAGAGTGACCCTCTATCTCAAAAAAAAAAAAAAGTTCTGGCCGGGCCCAGTGGCTCACGCCTGTAATTCCAGCACTTTGGGAGGCCAAGGCAGGTGGATCACTTGAGGTCAGGAGTTCAAGACCAGCCTGGCCAACATAGCAAAACCCCATCTCTACTAAAAATACAAAAAAATTAGCCAGGCGTGGTGGAGCGCACCTGTAGCTCTGGCTACTTGGGAAGCCTGAGACAGGAGAATCACTTGAACTCAGGAGGCAGAGGCTGCAGTGAGCCGAGATCATGCCACTGCCCTCCAGCCTGGGTGACAGAGCGAGATTCCATATCAAA